AAACCGAAACGGCCCCCTCAGAGCACCGTGCTTCGGCTTTTTTTACACGGGTAGATTATAGCGGAGAGTACCCCTCTCATGCTCCGTAGCGAGTAACATTTCGTATTTTCTTGATGGTTAGTTCTGTTCTCTTTCCTTCTGAAGCGGTACACGTATAAAATTTCCTACACCGGCAACTTTTGTAAAATCAAAGAAATCTTTGAAGCCACCACCTGTTACTGTTGTTAAGAAGTACAGGGTGGTCTTTTTAGAGGTCAGGTTTCGTCAAAGTTTTGTAGGTCTGATGTTTTTTGGGCCAATGGTTTCCGAATGCTGCACTAGCCGATTAATTAAGTTGGTAGCGCGAGCCTGTTGCGTCATAAAAACAAACATAATTTCTTGTACGTCACCAAAGGTTTTCGGTAACAAACGATTTGGGGACCATCCCCGAAGGCTGTCTTGTGGCTGTACACTGCCGTGATAAGACCTATGCTCTGCTATGGAGCCTGGTGCCTAGGCTCTCCACTACGGTAGCACTTTTTAGCCAAGCTCAAAAACTTGCATGCACAAGCGCGATGCGAACAGCTCCCACAGCCGCCATTGAGGCCCTTCTGGGCCTGCCTACAGTAAATCTCCACGTGAGAGAGCAGGCCATTCTAGTATCTTTGCACCTGAAAAATAAGGGGTTGCCGAATAGCAGAGGTACTAAGGTGGACCACTCTCAAATTCTGAGCGAATTGCCTATTCTACAAGGGCGACCTGACTCAGTCTCTCCTCAATTCATATTAGGGAAAAGCTACCACATTTTTCTTGATGAGGATGTGGCATCCCAAACGGATATATTCATCTTCACGGATGGATCTAAAACAATGGAAGGAACAGGCACTGGTAATTACTCTAAAGAACGGAACTTCCATATCATCCAACCGCTCGGCAAATTTTGTACTGTATTCCAATCAGAGTTGGTAGGATTAAAGCTCATTGCAACAAAAGTTCTTATGCATAACATAAGGAGCAAAACTATCACAATTTCCAGTGACAGCACAGCTGCCCTACATACACTTGGTCACTGTAAAATTGCATCTAGGTTGGTTCCAAAATGTCACCATGCACTAGAGCAAGTTTTTGCACAGAGCTATCACGAAAGAACCTGAGGTTACTCGTGGGAATACTTTTTGGGCACTGAAAACTAAACAAACACATGTACCTCAGGGGTTTGGTAGAATTGCGTAGACGGCACACCACATACTTTGTGAATATCCCGCTCTAGTTCAACAGAGACGATGCATGTTGGGGGTATCCTCACCGGGCCTCACCTTTCCAGCATCCTTAGGTTCATCTCATGTGTGGATTGGTTTGAGTGACGTAGAAGGGTCGAACGACTCTAGTCAGGGAGGTAGTGCAAAGGGCCCGAATTTGAGGCGTAGGTACGCGTCCCTCCTATCGTAATCCAGAATCCAGATATCTCCAATATGAGAGACAATAGGTCCCTACGGCGCTCGAGTTAATCCACAGTATAGCGGGCTTCCTTACTATCAGGTTGTTCCATCCTACCTACTTCAGTTGTGACAAATTCACCAGAAGGCAGCTTTGGTACACCACACAGTCCCTAAATAGAGACATACATTGCGAGGATTCATTTATTATGATACACCGACACCGAAAAAAGTTCAGCGGCAGAATATGGAACATGACTACTGAAAAAACAATACTCCCCTTCAGCGTAACTTATATTACAAATTTGAGCGAAATATCTCAAAAACTGTAGGAGATATAAAGAAATCTTGAAATTGTAACACCCTGTGGATCGGTAACGAAGGGTTTGCGGATATATGAACTTTTAGTAACAAAATAAGCCAAAGAATTATCCTGTTCCGTATTTACATCATATTTAAGAACACCCTGTATATAAATCTGGTGTCATGGTGTTTGTGGTTGCACTCCTCCGAAACTGCTCGTCCGATACATGAACCGATGACAGAATAATGAATTTTGTGTATACTTGATAGACATGAGAATAGGTTGTAATTTTTAAATTATATTTTATACCGCTTAGGTGACTATATAGTTCACCTTGTGTGCGAGTTAAGCGTATGTCCCATCCAAGAAAATGAGAATTCCCAAAGGTGCTACGATGTTCGCGAGGTCTGCTAGTAGAGTTACAATGTACTACCTTAGGCTTCATCGAATGAATTTTGATAACATTACAGACAATTACTCCAGAAATCAGCTTCTATGTCACAAACCTTTCTAGGAATTTGTCAATCAAATAGGAGGAATATCGACATCCAGCGACCTTTGGACCATTGATTCATGTATCTGCGGGTATGAAACATTACTACCCTTAAACGCAAACGCACATCCTTCTCGCCAAGTTGGCGATTCTTAGTGTGGATTACCTACACGGGTTAAATTGGCGTTTTGGTTGGATGCGCATAATACGTATATGCGCATGAATCATACATCATATAAGAAGGTACATGTTGGAAGCTGAGGTGATAGAACTATGGTGAGACGCAACCAACAGATATCATTAGGCTCAACCATAGATGGGAATATAGTAAAATTACACCTGTAGTTTTAACCATCAGGAACAAATCGTGGCTGGGGTAGGTGACTCTCCATTTAATTATATTATTCAAGCATCTCTGCTTGCCTGCCTTACTGTAAGAGATTAAAGCGTATCTGTATGCCACCTGACGCAACAAAAGCTAATGTTATAATTACTAACGACAATCGCTATTTGTTTTAAAATTAACACGTTACAGAATATTGCTGCTCAATAACTCCTGCAGTAATTTTCAACATGATTTACGATTTGGTTGCCCAAACCGTTACTTTCAAATTAGTACTTAAATTAGCAGTGATGTGAGATTTAAAATGGGCTTTAATGTAATGTAGGTACTGATTCTCGTATATTACGAACCAAAGAACCTATAGATGAAATAGGTACTTTTCACTGTAACGATTGAAAAAAACCTCTACGAAACTAAAGCTCTGACAACAGCTATGGTGTGTGGTAGTCAGATTAGTCGTGAAGGTGGAGGATGCGATCAGCAGAAGGTGACTAAATTTACGATTCTGGCCCGACCTTTGCTGCTCGGCAGCAGATTGTCCGACAAGCTCGCTAAGGCATTACTACAAGCCTCGAGAGGGAGGACATCAATATTACCGATATCGGATCTTATGTCGCATATTTGCTTAAACATTTAAAAAGACAGGAAACGGCGTAATATGGTAGTGTCATTCTATAAAGTTTCAACATTCGCATTGAAAATGTAACCAGTCACCTTTATTTTATTGCAGCGCCCTGCTGACTGTTTCTCTTAATAATTGGATAGAGAAAACGCAAAACTTGATAATCTAACCTTCAACTTGGAAAAAGCCTACAGGGATAATTAAAAAATAAAGGAACGTTTATTGTTGATAAATCTTTTATTAGTCACAGAAATGAACTGGAAAAAATTGTTCAATTAACTTTTATACGTTTTACCCCTGTCAAGTATTCAAAAACCTGTCAGTCATAATCTTGGTAAAATAATTAGTGCATTAAAAAGGCATAACGTCTCCGATTCATAACCGAAAAATAAGCACATCATCGATAAAATCGTTATGAATAGAATATTTAATTAACTTCCATTTTATGTTATTTATAGATCAATTCCGCTTAATTTAAGATTTTAATTTGGTTTATACCTGTATTATGTTACCTCCTAGCAGTATAAATGGTTATATTTTGAATATTGGTACAGCTACTTTTATGCTCTGAAAATTTTGAATTGGTAGCATTTATCGGAATCTTGAATAATTTAATTAATGAAATTGCTGCATATGAAATGTGTTACTGGATATGGTTAATTTATTGCTAAAATTTATAGGTTTTCATATTTCTTTGACAGCTCTTGACATACCTCAAAGGAAAATTTTATCAGTCAATTTGGTTGCACGTGGTGCAAGCAAAATTCTATTAACAACCAAATAGTTGGTAATTTTTTCCCGTTATAAATTGGTTTTAATTTATTTTTTTCTATTTGGTTATTGATGTCGTTTTTGTGTGCTTTCGTCAAAAATTTTACCATGTTTACGCTTTATACACTGTATCTAAGATGTCTATCATGGGGATCTCCGAAAGCATAGAAGATACAAGAATGGTCAAATTAGGGTAAACTTGCGCAATTAAACAGTTACTATCATGCTAAAAATAAAACCGATCACGTACAAAGATATACCAAACAAATCGAAATTTGCGAATTTCCTTTCATTTTTTCTGATACAGATATAAAAAAAAGAAAAAACACTATCTTATTGCTACCATTAAGATCGTCAAACAAAACAAATACATACTGTGTTGAGTCGCATTTTTTATAACAAATACAATAATGTACGGCACAAAAAACCAGAGTTGGAAACTGTTGGTTTCAACAGGATGGTGCACCTACGCGCAACGCCCTAATCGTGTGAGAATACCTATCAGGAAAAATTTTCCGAGAGGTATTCCCCTAAACTTCTCTCAATTTCTTCACAAAGAACTCTCAAGTTCCTCAATGATTTCTTTCTAGTCCTTCTTCAACTTCCTCCAAATTATCATCAAGTTCCTCTGAAGGTTCCAAAAGTTTCCACTCGTTTCTCTTTAATTTCCTCTCGAGTTCACCTTCAATTTCCCACTAGAATTCCCTCAAGTTTCCGATAAATTTTCTTCTCAAAAACTTGCTATGAGACATACTTTTTCTCATCACAAGATAATCCGATGACCATTCTTTGTAAGTTTTCTAATTTACTTCAGTAATCAAGAAAGTTAATATCTTTTTATAAATTATTATCACATTCATCAATTATTGGTACAAGATTATCATATGCCTTCATTACTGTAATACTTATTACGTTGCAGTAATTCGCAGGTCATTGTAATTAAAATAAGAGCGAGAGAGTGAGTTAAATACGTTTGTAACTAGTAACCGAATGTTGAATGACAAAAAACCCTTATAGTAACGTGGAGTAAATATTTAAATCATCCATCGCCGTAAGATAAAGCGTTTATTGTTTTCTTGGGTCACATTTTACAAAGGCGATACCTATAAATATGAGAGTAAATAGTGGGAAAGCAGCATTCGTCAATCGGCGTTACGCAGCGGAAAATTAGCGCCGGTGAAGCTGCGGACGAAGATTTACGTAGAATTGGCAAAGAATAAAGCAAGAATGTTTCTACGGCGGAATATCGGAGAGGATTCTATAACCGGTCCGTGCATAGCACAATTCGAAGGTCAATTTCACTTCCAAATTGAATCTCGGATGTTATCGGATTGAACGTGGGGGTCGCCCAAAGGGCAACTATTTACAACTATAAAATAGTACACTATAAACACCTGCAACAATATACAATTATACACAGGATCGATGAGAGCGCAGGATATTGGGTGCGGGGTTCGTTCAAGTCCTTCAACTTCCACCAAATTCCCTTCAAATTCATCTGACGGTTTCATAAAGTTCCATACAACTCGTTCCTCTTTAATTTCCTCTCGAGTTCAGTTTCAATTTCTCACCAGAATCCCCTCAAGTTTCCGATAAATTTGGATGCGGGCTGGCCTTTAGATCGCGTAGTGGCGGCAGTATCGAGCTTAGTTTCTGTGGACCGTGTATATTGCTCCCTCTCGCGCCTCCCCTGTGAGTAAGGGTGGTTGTTCTCGAGCTTTCCACTATCTACGCCTAATAATGCGTGGTTTGGTGTTACTCCTGTGGTATGGTTACTCAGGCGCTCCGGTTCTTTGCTATGAGGTGCGTCCGGAATCCCTTCTTTATTTATTGGTTACGGCGTTCGACGTGGTTCGCTTGGGGGTACTAGATGGGCGTTGTCCAATGTAGAATCCCCATTTCCGGAGTGCCACGTCCCACGTGACCGAGATGGAGGAACTGGCACCGGTGGTCTTCAAGGTATCGCTTGATCGCCCGCGTCACCGTTCGGCACTTCTCGTTCAAGTGGTATGTAGATTGCGCTGGGGTCAGTTTCGCCCTTGCCTAACTGATGATCCGCCTCCTCTCGGGTGCATCTTAGTATCGGACGACGACCATTCCTTTGCTGCTGGGATCTGTTTGAAAGATGAATGGCTGGTTGAAGTGACAACGACTGTTGTGGCGCCTTTTTTAGTTCTTGGAACGCTTTCTCTGTCGCGGCCGCCTAGGTGAAGTGTGTCCCATTTTTCAGCAGGTGGTTCAGCGGGTATTGTCGTTCCGCGCAGCGGTGCACGCAGTCGCTCAGCCAATTGATAAGGCATAGAAAGCTAAGCAACTGTTTGCGGATTGTGAGTCGTTCGGCGCCGCGCAACGCCTCCACGTGCCGGGAGCGGCTGATTGTCCTCGGCGAAGATTTTGTGCCCTAGATAATAATAATAATAATCCTTTATTTGCTCAACAGAAAGACATAACCTTTCCAATTTCAGAGCAAAAAACAACATTTTACAACTTGCCAGAGTACAATAGAGTTAAAAATACATCAAAAATAAAAAATATGTCTAGTAATATTGATAATAGTACTTAAACTACCGAAACCAATAACAAAAACAGTCAAACAAACAAAGAGAAAAAGAAAAAAATATCTATCGGTCCTCTTAAATAATTACTAAGTGCCACTAATAATACTAAAAGTTTAATTAATCATAATTGATTATAGGAAAAATAATGTTCTATGAAAATATTAAAATTAATTACTGTTAATGTTAATAACCGAGCGTAACATTTCCGGTAAAGAACTGTAATGAAGATCACAATTTTGTGAAATTAAATTAAAATTATAAGAGATTATAAATAAAGGATTTTTGCGCAACAAATTAGATTTAGGAGTGGGGTTTGTAAAGTTACTAGCATTTCTATTAATGCGCACCGGAACGGTGAAGTTTAGGATAAATCAGCTTTGCCATCCCCAACTAGCACTTGTCCATGGATAGTTTCAAATGGTGTTGTTGGAGACGTTTGAGGTCCAGGTGTTCTTCCCAGATTTTTAATAAATAATAATGTCGTGTACACCATCGCAAATTTCCACACATAGCGCGAATACGAGCGAAAAAGCGTGAAATAATTGGTAGTGTTTGGATTCGTATTTTTCGAACGGTTCGCCATCAGTTTGCATACACTATAACCACCTCATCAAGTGGTACACATTTGTATCATTCGCTCGTATTCGGGAAAACTTCAATTCCCGCGAACACGCGTGCTCTGTAGTCACAGCCTAATAACGCAATTTTGGTTTAGGGAAATGCGCTAAAAGCTCTATGTCCAACCATTCGGTTAAAAATTTACCTACAGACGGCCAGACAGACTCGCCACTAAGTTTTCCGCTAATAAATCTCTGATAGAAAAACATATAAAATTTAAGTAGGCAATCTTCCAATAAATAACCTATATGTAAAAATCACATTAAAAAAAAGTCTTCTTCAAAACCCTTCTTCGTCAAAAATCAGGAATCTAGGGTGATATAAATATGCGTTTTTCAGTTTCCATAACAAAATTGATATCACATTGTTGTAGAGTTATTGTTTTAAATATTGCCAAAGAGGGGTGTGTTAACGTTGTGCTTTTTCATTATTAAGGACCGCAGCTCTTCTTTCACTTTGAAATTGACATCTTCTTGTAGAGTGGCATATGAAAGTAAAGAACAAAACGAGTGTACGTCACATCTGGTCGGGATAATAACAGACATTTGCATACAAACGTCTACAAAACTAAACTATTAGATCTAGGATACATAAAATCCTTCGGCCTGTCATTAGTTCCGGAGGTAATAATGTATCATTTAGAGTTTTAAATATTCAGTCCATACACGTTGAAGCACGCATAAAACTGTTCACAAAAAATTGGACCGTTGATGGGTGTTAGACATACCGATCTAAGAATAATAACTGCAGCATTCACAATTGATTGACACGCCTACTATTGTTTTAAATCTCCTGTTGATTGTTTTCAGGTCTATTCCAATAAATAATTGCAGGGCACTAACAGACTAAACGTCTTTTAAGATTTATATACCCCCACCATTTGCCAATTGCCATTGTGTAGGATTTGGTATATGTAACTGATTCGACATTACTAAATGTGGTTTATGTTATTGCTTTTCTCGCCCTTTCGTTGAAAATTACTGACCGGTTTTGCGAACATTTTAAATACATAAAGCAGTTTTTTCCCCTATATAGATGAAGTGGACAGATAAGAAGCGCGTTAAAAATGTGTCGATTGACAAATTGAAATAGCGCACGTCTGCGTCAGTTTATTGGACTGAACGTAAAGCTCTGGTTTCGGTTGGAATAAAATTAACTAGGCAAGGTTAGCGTATGCTCCATAATTACCCTATATCTCATCTACAAAGTGATCTTGATTACTGAAAACCGATTTTTGAATATAAGAGTGGACTTGTTTACGAGTGTTGTGATGGTTACTCTCTAGACACACCTTTAACTATGATAAGGCAGTATTTCCTTTAAATAAACACTCAACCTGCTGGTATATCTTTCAAGATACAATAGGTGTTCGTGTTCCCATCCAGCGTTAAAATCTCCAGATGTCATTTACGTTAAATTGCCACACCTTACTAAGATATAAAAATAGCTTTCTGTTTAAACCTCAAAGCGTAGGGACGTCCGCTATTATATCATTTAAATATATCAACTAAAATAAAACTAACGACTAAGAAGGTGCAATTAAGGCATTCGGGAACGAATTACACAACCCGCCTCTCTGAGTGCGCTTTTTTAAGCCAACGATTTGCTATAAATGAACTTGGCATTAGAAACGCAAACGAAATTTCATGCTTCTTTGTTGTACCTACCAACTAAATTACTTCGACATTTAACCTTAAAGCAATCATTTTTGTGTTACGTAAATAGCGGTTAACATTTTAATTACATTATGTCTGCTACAGATTTTCAGGTAAAAGGACTTGGTTATAGGTTCCTCCTTATGTAAATTATTGTTCCACATCATTTCAGTCAAATTATCGAAGTACACGCTAGCGAAATCGAGCTCATCCAAAACAAACTGTATTACAGTGATGTTTCATAGTCTGACAAAGTATACGATTCTGTCTATTAGGCTGAAAATCAGGGACAAATGAATAATCACAGCATTTATTGTGATACCTACGACTACCTCACGTATGGTATACAGGGTGTAGCATCTAAAACCCATTTACCAAAAAGATGCCGAAAAAGTCTTAGTGCAAAATTATACGCAATTATCGCCGACATGTTTCTAAACTATTTTTGATCACCCGGGGGGTGGTGTACTCCAGTGGCGTATCAAACTTGCAGTTTTTTAAATGAACATCCCATATTTTATTACTGATTTGGAACATACTCGAAAAGTACTTATTTTTGTATGTAATTTGTTATGCCCCTAACATTAACGATTTCGCTGTTAAACCATTTTTCGTCAAAATTTGACAGTTTTTTGAAATGTTTTTTGAGAGAAACTAAATCGCGTAGGTGGTAAGTTTTGAACTAAGGCACAGATTAAAACAGTCACAGTCCCATAATTTTTATTAAGTACTTTATCGAAAAATTTTTGATTGGTACCTTGTCCAAATGTCATATTTTTCAAAAAAATTTTAAATGGCACCCTCCTAAACAAATTATTCCTCTGGGTAGCCAAAACTACAAATTTTCCACTGATATAAACAAAACCCCCACATTCCATAAGAAAATTTCAGAGAAACTCAAATCGAAACGCCAATTTGTAAAAAAAAAATTTCCGAACCCAAGTTAGTGTGCCCTGATGAAACAAAACATGTTGAATTCTCACAATTTACAGTACAGTGTATTGTTTGTTGGCGTCACAAGAGTACACTGGGAGATATCCAGGCAGAACACGCTTTTCAAAAGTTGTTGGATAAATTTACAACTACTGGGAGTACTAATTTTACGCACACTAATATGACGATTGACACCAGCTACCACGAGAACCGGAAATTCATTATCTTCCACCAAAATCGGCGTCCGTTTATCTCTCCTTGCTCGTTTCACACCCCCACTATAGTCTGTCTAAAATTGACGCGAAGTAATAAATGTACCTGATAGACAGAGACAGAGAATCACTTCCATACAAAAATACTATTTCTATTTCACCAATTTATAATTTATTACTTCGCGTCAATTTTAGACAGACTATAGCTGTAAATCTAACCAACACCTGTTGAAACACGCGTGGATCTGAATGTGTTCTGCGAGTATATCTCCCAGCCAGTGGCGGTTTCTCAATAAGTGCACATGAGCACGTGCACTCCCAAAAATCATTTTAAAAAAACGAAAACAATAACAATCCTATTTATGTATTTAACATTCTTGCACGTTCGTATCTCGCAATAAAAATAGTTCACTTATCTTATCTGAAATGCAAAACCTAACGGGTAAGGTACACTGACACACCGCTGAACGTGTATTAAGAATTATTCCCATTCCGCCTTCCTGTGCAGTGCACGATTAGCTACGATCTCTGATTCGTTAAAACGCTACGTCGCCTTTCCCCGTGCGCCCCGCGAAGGTCCAAGTTGTAAAGTATAGCAAGAGCACACTCTCATTGTGAACCTGTATTCGCCGGACTACGACTTAGGGCTTGTCGATCGTTTCGGTTTTAACAAGTAACGTTGCGACGTTACCGTTCATTGTTTAAAGACAATTATTAAATTTAATTTACTAAAATTAGAAGATCAAATTAAAATAAAAAATGCGGGTCGCCCAAAACCGAGTTTGGAAATATCGAAAATCAATTAAGGAAGTCGGGATTATAAACGATCGTTTAAAATAGACATGTATGAAAAAACTGGCTGGTTTGCGGTTGTACCTTTAACAATAGTCTATTGTTTTCCGTGTTTGTTGTTTGGTGATGAGCTCGGTGATGAGGCATGAGAATGGACAAAGAATGGCGTTACAGACTTAGTGCATTTATCCGAAAAAAATAAAAAATATCAATCTTCAAAGGCACATCATATATCTGCTAAATTGAGATTTAATTTATTAGGTAAGCAAGAAAGGCAGCAGTTAAATAGTGCATACCGTTTGAGTATCGAAAAACGTAATGAGGAAGTAAAAAAGAACAGGTATGTTTTACCCAAATTATAGACCGTATAAAATTTTGTGGTGCTTTGGAACTTGCTCTCCGCAACCATTGACAAATCGAGAAAATTCAATAAACCCTGGAGTATTTAGAGGTCTCATCAATACGCTTTTTATGCCATTTAATAGGCCCAAAAAACTTCGTGTTGCGGTGACACTCAAAAAATTTTCGCCTCCGGCTTTTTGCCCGTGGTCCCATTTTTAAATTGTGCACCCCCAAGACACACCACTACGCGCCGCCACTGCTCCCAGCCAGCGTATACACTCGTGAGTCGTG